AAATCATTAATTTACAAGCATTATGTAGTGGCAATCAATGACACATAAGACAATAAGTAGCAGCCATCAACAGAAACCTTTTTAAAATACATGTCATGATGCATTCAGAGAAATAATGCAGAAATGAAAATTCATTTTGTTTTGTTTTATTGGTTTGTTTGGTTAATAGTAATTTTTTTCAAAAAGGTAATTTTTCCTTAAGAATAAATTGGATTCTGTCAACAATCAGCGAGCTAAAGAGCAACATGCTTTCGGCTGCTAATTCAAACAATGAGGAGTCCCAGGGGCAAGTATGCACTGTGTCTGATTTCCAATAATGTGTGTTATTTGTTTAGAGAAGTTCAAGCACTTACTAAACCTTATTAAAACTGTGGCTATAAACCACCATGAAAGTATTGCAGAACAGTGGCATGTACCAGATCCCTGTTCATTTAACTGTGAACTCCTCACCCCAGAACATGTGCAACAGATATGCTGGGGTATCCTGGCACCAATTTGCAGGCTCAAAATTGCCATGTTGTAAAATAAGTGGGGGAAAAAATGTAGTTCAGAATAACCTAACTATAATATTTTCAAGCAGTAAATACATTCTTCCTTGAACATATGCATAAATACCTTCTCAGTGCTTTCCCAACCATATTGCCAATGAGATAAAATCATAAAGGAAAATAAATGTGTAATTAGAATAGTAAACAGAAGCAATAATGTCATGTGATGGCAAACAGTCATCTGAGCTGTAAGTCTTTATTTGGCAAACCAATTTCATCATGCTATTCCTTAATCATGGACTCATAACACAGTCTAAGAAATTTTCCTTCAAAGAACTTGTAACCTTAGTTGAACACAAAGGACATATACAGGAAAAAAAAAAAAAATTCAAATAAAGAATAGAGATAATAATACATATGGGAGTTTGCATGAAAGTCAAAACCTTGGGATATGAGTTGTAGGGAAGAAAAGGACTAGTCCGAAAAGACTTCATGGGAAATTAGGCCTTGAATTTAATTTAAGGAATGGGAATATTTGAAAGTGAGAAGAGAAATGATTGCAGGGAGAAGGAAACCATGAAAAAAAAGTCTGTATCAAGGAACAAACATAAGCATGTTTGGCAACAAAGAACACATCTACTTGGCTGAAGTCAATGGTTTGGAGGGGAATTATGGAAAATATAGAAGACAGGAGTTATACAAGAAACAGTTAGGATAATTAAACATTTCTGAACAGAGGGAGTGGTATACAAACCAGTGTTTTTGGAAGTCACATCTGGCAATAAATTGGCATAAAGAGAAACTGCCTTATGTTCTTCCAGTCATGTTTACAATCATCACATACCCTCAGATGTCCTCATTTGTGAATTATTGTTCCTTATTTACATTATATAAATCATGCTTCTCAGTCTCCTTGCCTAGAACTTTGCTAAGGATACCTCAATATTTTAAGCACTCTTTGATACCCCAAATAGCTTCCTTTAGTCTGGAATTTTGGGGGAAAGGGAACTAGTTTTAAGGGGAGAGACAGTTCTAAGCAATAATTCAAAGATATCTCTGCAGAAACAAACAAACAAACAAAAACAAACCCTGGAGATTTAGGTGATTAACTACTAAAACCATACTGTTGTTGTTGTTAAGTGCCGTCGAGTCGATTCCAACTCATAGCGACTCTGTACAGGGTTTCCAAGGCTGTAAATCTTTACGGGAGCAGAAAGCCTCATCTTTCTCCCGCGGAACAGCTGGTAGTTTCGAACTGCTGATCTTAAGGTTCGCAGCCCGATTCGTAACCACTATGCTACCAGAGCTCCTTACTAATAAGAAGTTAATTGCTGATTTTTACTTTTCTAAAGTTTACTTTATTCCAGGACACTTTTATGAAAGACCAATATAAGTACCCATTTTCAGTAACTGAAAGAAACCCAAAGAGGATTTTCGTTTTACAAATAAAAGTGAAAAGCAAAACTAGCATTCAGCACTCGCTTTATAGGGAGCCTCTAAACAGGGGGCACTCACTCCAAGCAGTGGGACTGGCATCCCCAAGTTCCTTCCTGGGAACTACATGGTACAAGCATTATGTCTACTTTATATAAAATCTTTCCTGGAATCCTGGTGACATAACAGGTTAGGTGTTGCACTTTTAACTGCCAAGTGGGCAGTTCAAACCCACCAGGTGTTTTGTGGCAGAAAGATGAGACCATCTGCTCCAATAAAGATTTTTCAGTCTTAGAAACCATAAAGAGCAGTTCTACTCTGTCCTGTAGACACCTGGTGTGGTGCTGTAAGATAAACTCTGGACCACAAAGTCAGTTGGAATTGTAAGGTTGGCAGTTCAATCCCACCAGCTGCTCCTCAGAAACTCTATATAAAGAGTTGCTATGAGTTGGAACCGACTCAACAGCATTTAACAACAACAACAACAAGGGGTTAGTATAAGATGGAATCAACTTAATGGCAGCAGTCTGTCCTTTTGTTTTTCTCTCTGCTTTTACTGTACGTTAGTGTTATTTTAAGATTTATGTGTTATTTGATATGATTTGGTAGGGTTTTTTAGGGGGGGCTGGAAACACTCAAAAATGTTCCCATGTAAATGAATGGCAATTGCTTCTTCGCTGTATGTCATTTTGACTTAAAAATGGTTTTGAGTGTGTGTGGGGTGGGGGGAGGGCTGTACTCTATGTAGTCTAAATAAATCCTATCCACTTTCTAGGAAGGCAGAGAAATTAGCAAATTTGTAATTTCCAATGTTAGAAAAAAAGAAACAAATTCCTTGGTCACTGCTCTACTATGTAATCAGTTTGAAGAAAAATCTGGATAAGGCTCAGATACCTCTGCTCCCCTTGATACTACCTGTTGCTTCCTCTGTAACTTCCTTACATTGTTTAGAGAAAGCTATAGGGTTTGAGCTAATTTATAAGACCCTTATTACCAGTATAAGAGATTTTCCAGATGGGGTACAAAATTAAAAGAACACAAGTTTAAGTTGGAAACAGGCAATTCACTTTTTGATAAATTTCTCATTACCAAAGAATTTCTACTTTATGGGCAAATTACCACAGTTTACCTCTCCTTCTAGGAGCTGTTCTGGCTACAATAACTAAAGAAACTCACAGGAGAGATGGCATTTAAAGAGTGCTCAATAAAACATACCCTAGAGTTCCTTGAGCCCTGGTATAGTGCTGTAGGATAAGAAATAGACTGTTAACTACAAGGTTGGTAGTTCAAGCTTTGAGAAACCCTATACTAGGTAGCTAAGAGTCAGAACTGACTTGACAGCACATAACAGCTTAGAGGCAGTAAGTATATCCTAGTAGGTGGGATATGGGCTTTGGAAGCAGTCCTCACCCCAGTGATTAATCCGTAGATGAGTAATTTTTGACATGTTAGTAAGCTTTGCTATGCTTTACTTTTCTCATTTGTCAATATGGGAAAATAATACTTTGCAAACATATTTATATGTTTTAACTTAAACTTTTGGTTCTTATTTCATAATAATCATTTGTGACTTCTCTTTTCAATAATTAAATGATTAATTTTAATGATTTGTATGATTGAGATGTATATGATATAGAAAACGAATGAAATGTACGATATAGAAATGGTTTTCAACCTCCAGGCAGAATTCACTCATTTTAGTTACACTTGAAAACAAGCGAAGACCACAAAACTGTACTATGTGCTATTTTGTATAAGAGGCTGCATGGCACACAATGATAGTGGTGAAAAAGACAAGGTCTCTAACTACAGAGCTGACCGTCCCCCACCTGGCAATCTACTAGACAGGAGGGTTCTCAATTCAAATACATTTTTGTTTAAATCCTGACTCTGTGACCCATTTGCTGTGTCGCTTAAAAAATACATCATTGCTAAATGTCATCAAGTGCATTTTGACTCACAGCAACCCTATGCACAACAGAACAAAATATTGCTCAGTCCGGCACCAGCCTCACAATCATTTGAGCCTATTGTTGCTGCCATGGTCAATCCATCTCATTAGGGGTCGTCCTCTTTTTATTTTTTTTGCTGACCCTCCAATTTACCAAATGTTATGCCTTCTCCAAGGACTGTTCCCTCCTCACAACATGCCTTAAGTATAAGAGACAAAGTCTCCCCATCCTTGATTCTAAGGAACATTCTGGGTGTACTTCTTCTAAGATAGATTTATTTGTTCTCCCATCAGTCCATGGTACTTTCAAACTTCTTCAACACTATAATTCAAATGCATTGGTTCTTTGGTTCTTCTCCACTCTTCCTTATTCATTGCCCAGCTTTCCCATGCAGAAAAGGTGAATGAAAATACCATGGCTTAGTTCAGGCACACCTTAATCCTCAAAGTGACAAAACACATAATCTCCCTGAATTCATGTTCTCATCAGTAAAATACTTACCTTTTTGGGGAATTTTGAGTTTCATTAATTATGATGACACAATGTTATTTTTCTTAAGTGTTGCTAAGTCTGTTCCAACTCATAGTGACCCTGAATAGGGTTTCCAAGGAGTGGCTGCTTGAGTTTGATCTGCCAACCCTGTGGTTCTAACTGGCCTTGAGGTGCAGTGCTTATCCTAAGGTACCACCCCAGAATGCATACAATGCATGTAAAGTATGTGCTTCTTAATTACAACCCTCTCCTTTCCTGAATCAAGTATACAAATGAATGATAAATCCTACTCAAGTAGAATTAACCTAATTGCATAGAGAATGAAGATTCTGTTAGAAGAACTAGAGAGGGCTTCATGGAAGGTAAGGTATTTAAAATGAGCCTTGAAGTGCGGGTAAGATTTCAGTATATCTACAAGTATTAAGAAACACCTGAATATGTACTGAAATCCATAGATACAGATGATAGTTATGGGTAAACTACTTATAACCACTTGTCTTTTGTTCCTATTTTTCATTTTTACATCTTATAGTTAGGTAGGATAGTATAGTGAGTTACAATGAGTCAGAACCAGCTGGGCAACACACAACCACCACCACCAATCCTTAGGTATAAGCATTGGACTGCTAACCACAGGTCAGTTAGCCATCTTCAGAAACTCTATACAGGGTTGCTATGAGTTGAAATAGACTCAATAGTACTTAACGACAGCAATAACATTAGCAATATGTTGCAGCATGTAATTTGCTGATATTTTCATTTGCAGATGTTCAATTTTATGATTTGCTTTCAAAGACTGCCAGATTTATGAAGATACTGATAATAAACATCAATTTAAAAAAAAAAAAAAAAAGAAGGTATTTGACACGTCAGAACTGACTTCCTTGGAATGGAACCCTGTCTTAAAACAGTGTACTTAGAATGCAGATGCAACTAAAGTAGACAAAAAGATGTGACTGTGCTAAAAAGACCTCTTTAAAATGTTCAGAGCAAAGATACAAGTTCGAGGACTAAAGCCCATGGTATTTTCAATCACCACATATGTAAAAGTTGGACAGTGAATAAGGAAGACTGTAGAAGAATCTGGGCATCTGAAGTAAGGTGTTGGCAAATACTGAAAGTACCATGGATTGCCACAAGAACAAACATAGCTATCTTGAAAGAAGTACAGTCAGATTGCTCTTCAGAATTAAAGATGGCAAGACTTCATCTCTCATACTCTATTCATGTTACCAGGAGGAATCAATCCTTGGAGAAAGACATACTTGGTAAAACAGAAGGTCAATGAAAAATCAGAAGACCCCCAATGAGACGGATTGGCACAGTGGAAGCACCAATGGGCTCAAACATGATTGTGACGATGACATAGGAGTGGGCAGTATTTCATTTTGTTGTAAATACGGTTGCTATGAGTCAGAAACAACTCAATGCCACCTACAATTTTTGGAAGTATACCACCAGGCCTTTCTTCTTAGTATTAATCTGGAATTTCTGCTGAAACCTGTGCATCATGGGTGGCAGTGCTGGTATCTGAAATACCAGTGACACTGTAACATGCAAATCACCACAGTATGTTTGACATACGTTAAAACAAAACAAACCCAAACCCCTGGTGTCATCAAATCAGTTCTGACTCACAGCAACCCTAAGACAGAGTAGAACTGCCCCATAGGGTTTCCAAGACTGTTATCTTTCTGAAACCCAAATGCCACATCTTTCTCCCACTGAGAAGATGGTGGTTCAAACTGCTGAATTTTCAATTAGCAGCCAAGTGCTTAACCAATGTACTACCAGGGCTCCCTGAGGAGTTGCTCATCCCTGTTTTTCACAAAAGAGACAGACACATAGTGAGATATAATCAGTCACAGAGCTGGAAAGTGGCATAACTGGGATTTGAGCCCAATCTGGCTCCAGCATCCAAGCTTTTAAAATCAGAATCAACTGCCCTTCTTGAGCTGTACTGCCTATAGGGCCTGCTTCATACATGGAAGTCCAATCCGCTTCACATTAATAAATAAAGCCATAATGTGACATATTATCAAATAAATAAACAAATAAAACAAAAAAATGTGACTAAAAACTAATCATAGAAAACTAACAGGTCTAATAGATAAAGAGAATTATTTCAGGTGGGATATCTTAGGCAAATAAGAAAGAAAGAGAGATGCAGATACAGTAGACTTAGGGCCACATTACAGAAAGTTTTGGTAGAGCAGATTTTGTTCTTAGTGGTGGACAAAGTTTCTAAATAGAGAAATCAATTGATTATTCTTGCAATGATAATAGTTTATATAACTAAACGGAGTTTTAAGAGACATAAAAAGTTTTTACTGTTTTTATTAGCTACCATTGAGTTAGCAACCCCCACTCATGGTGACCCCAAGCACAAAGGAATGAAACAGCTTCAGCTCCATAGTCACGATTAGCTGGGGATTGGAGAGTTATGACCCATAGGTTTTCCTTGACTGATTTTCAAAAGTAGATTGCCAGCAATTTTTTTTCCTAGTCTACCTAAGTCTGGAAACTCTACTGAAACATGTTCAGCATCTCAATAACACACAAACCTCCAATGTAAATGGACAGCTGGGTGGTGGCTGTATCGGCTGGAAAAGGAATGTGGGCTTCTCCATGGAAGAAGAGCATTATGAACTACCAATGACCCAGCACAAAATGGAGTCCTGGACCACAGGTCAGTCTGAACCACAAGGTCAAAGGTTCCAACTCACCACTTCCTCCTCAGAAATCCTATATAGGGTTGCTATCAGTCAGAACCAACTCAAAGGCATTTAACGACAGCATTAAGCACATAATAAAATGGCCCTTAAAAATGTCCTATCAGCTGGTGTGGTTTGGGCGATAGCAGTGAAAACCAGGTAGGGTATGCTCTGGCGAGAAGGGAGGGGGATCTCATGAAGAAAATGCTCATAGTACAACTCCAGAGCTCCAGATCTACCATAAGCTGCAGGACGTCAGTTTCCCGTACTTCCAAGTGAAAAAATCATGATATTAAGGAAAATACTGCAAGCTAGAAATCTGGAGACGGGACTCCCTTGGCAACTACCACGCCCTGGCAGAGTTTAGAGGGTGGGGATAAAGCCAGTCCAGCTCAGAAAACCGCACTAAAAGCAGTGCAGAGGCATTTGCAATAAAAAAGAAAAGAGACACAAGAGACTATACATTTCTTCCTCTTTCTTCCTGTCCCACCTTCATTGCTCAGCCCGGGCACCAGGTGGGACAGTTTTCTCATGGTACAGAGAGAAAGAGCTTGGCAGAGACATATGACGTCACCCGCGGAGCCACAGACCTAAACGTTTCCCCAGCGGGACCCTTTGCAGCAGTGCACCGTGGAGTAAGTCCCGACTCCAGACAACCTTGTGTGGGGTTTCCGGGGCTGTGGGTCTGTGTGGGAGTGGAGCACCTTGCCTTTCTCCCATAGTGTGGCTGGTGGTTACAGGCTGATGACCTTGCAGTTCGCAGCCCCATTCACGGCCACTGCGCTGCCCGAGCTCCCTGCACTGGACCAATTCAAAGCAATCTGGAAAACCCCAGCATAAAAGGACTCAACCATCCCCAGAATTGTGCTGTGCACACACAGATACCTAACTGACCTGACCTTCAGAGACAAAAAGAGTAGACAATCTTTCTCCCATTAACTCCCCAATATCTACCTACGTACCTCTACTGTAGTGACTAGAGGAGGAGCGTGAGAGAGCGGACACCCCCCAGTCTCTGCTGGAAGCTTCTAACTGTACACACACTGACACTGTGGTTTGGGACAGTCGATCACAGCTTCATTTCTGTTCCAAAGTGGTGATTTTTGTCTATGCATTTATATTATTTCTGCTTTTGGTCCTTTTGATCACAAATCTTTCCTGGAGGTAGGAGCTTTTTCTCCCTACGTTACCCAAGAAGAGACAGCAATTGTGGCCATATAACCAAGTTATAAGCACACCCCATAAAATTCCACTGCTGACATAAAAGCCAACAACACCTGCTAAGCATTACATGCAAAAAGGAAAGCCTATCTCCTGATCATATTTACCAGGAGACACCCAGTAAGCTTAACAATAAACATTCACTTGAGCTTTAAACAACAAAACTATCATGACAAACAAACAGCACAAACAACATCGAAACACATCAAAAAACAAAAGAGAGTAGCTGATGCAAATGGGCTGAAGACAAAAAAAAGGCTTTCTAGAGGAGAAAGAGCAGGTTTTGAATATGCCTGAGAAAGAATTCAGAAGAATGATACGGAAACAAATCCAAAAGCTCCAAAATGGGGTGGAGGAAAACAAGGTAGGATTCAGTAAAGTACTAGAGGAGCCATTAAATAAGATGACACAGCACTGGAAACAATTCAAAACCTGCAAAAAGAGGCCCAGATGATCAATAATAAGATATCAGAAATGGACAATATGCTGAAAGGGGAAAGGAGCAGATTAGAAGAGATGGAAGCCAGAACTAGTGAGCTGGAAGAGAAATCTCTCAATAATGCTAAGATAGAAGAGCAAGCAGAAAAAGGATTTAAAAAAATCTGAAGAGAGTCTACAATTCATGCTGGATAACATGAAGAGGAACAACTTAAGAATTATTGGCATTCCAGAACAGGAAGAATCAGAGAAGTCCACAGAGGAGATAGTTGAAAGCTTCTGGAAGAATATTTTCCTAACATTTTGAAAGATGAGAAGATACATTCAAGAAGCCGAACCTACCCCAGGAAGGACAAATCCCAAAAGAAAGTCACTAAGACGTATCATCATCAAGCTCTCCAAAATCAAAGACAAGGAAAGAATACTAAAAGCAGCCAGGGAGAAGAGAATTGTCACTTATAAAGGCAAGCAAATTAGATTAAGCTCTGACTATTCAGAACAAAAAATGCAGGCAAAAAGGCAATGGGGAGACATATACAAAGCCCTACAAGAAAAAAAAAAAAAACTGTCAACCAAGAATCATGTATCCAGCAAAAGTATCACTCAAATACGATGGTGCTATCAAGACATTCTACAATAAACAGGATCTGAGATATTTTTATAAAAAGCAACCCAACACTTCAAAACATCCTAAAGGGAGTTCTATGGCCTGAAAACCAACAAGAACAGACAACAAACAGAGATTGACAGGCATGGCAACACCACCTGGAACTCAGTCAACAGCAGAGTTCAGAGCAGAACAAGACTACAACAGCAAACTAAAAGGAGCTGGGAGGTCAACCAAAGATCAAAATTCTATCAATGTGAAATAAGGGAAAAACATAGCAACAGAGACCCAGATGGTAATAATGCAGGTAAATTACAGGATACAATGGATTATCTTAAATGGAGAGAAAAGTTAGTAGACTATAAAGTAACCCCAAAGAAAGTTAAACCTTCACAATTTACCATAAAATTGAATTTCCAAGCAGAACATGCAAACATGAAAACTAAAAAGAAACAGACAAGAAATAGCACACAAAAAAAAGACAAACTCAACACGAGAAGGCATGCAGAACAAAAGAACGAATAGCACCACCAAAAAAGTAACATCACGGCAGCAATTAATTCATACCTATCGATAATTACATTGAATATCAATGGATCGAATGCACCAGTGAAGAGACAGAAAGTGGCAGACTGGATAAGAAAACAAGACCCTTCAATATGCTGCCTGCAAGAGACATATCTTACACACAAAGACAAAAACAGACTAAA